TTACATAGTTGCTTTCTATAACATATTGGAATGCATCCCTGGATTTCAACAGAATTCTTGTGGTTGAGCCATGATGTAGGGAACATGACGCATCACTGCCTCATGACCTTATGTTTTAGTAAAGGGGATGAACATCAACAATTTATTTTTGCAGGGACTAGAACAGATGACTCATTGGGTAAGGGGATTTGCTGCCCAAGTATGAGGACCTGAGTTCAAATCTCTGGCACCAATGTATAAAGCTTGACTTGGCCACACACCCTCCTAAAACTTAGAGTGCTAGAGGTGGGAAAGAGCAAAGACGGGCTTGCTGGCTGTCTACCAGCTTTGGTTAAATAGATGCTATAATCTCTCAGATGAATCCTAACTTTCCATGTATGCCTCTGCTTCCTACCACCGGTGCTTCTTCCACTGTAGTCACCACACTGAAATATCCCAGCATCCTCTTAGCTAGCTCTAGCCTATCAAGCTATTTGTTTTGCCAATTCATCAATTTATATCAGAATTTGATTTTATCATGATTATTCTCTATACATTTTTTGAGAGAGGGTCTCCCAGTAGCCCCAGTGGGCCTGGCACTCATTATGTAGACCAGACTGGCCTTGAACTCTCAATCCGCCTGCCTCTGCTTCTGGAGTTTGGGGATTAAAGGTGTGTACCACCATGCCCTGCTTAAGTTTTTATACATTCTTTGCTTGTTTTTATTCTGGCCATTTCTTGTGGTTTTAAGTCTCAACAAATGATATTAAAAATTCTACTACATGATATATTTTGATCATTTACTATTCGTAGGCATGAGCTTCAATTGGCTGCTGCAGTGGAACTTGAGACCCTACTTGTTACATCATTCTGTTCAGTTTTCTTCCCCATTTTCTATTCTGCTTCATCTGATGATTTCTAAACACCATGCATTCTTTTACGTATTTCTTATACCTGAGAAAATTAAGATCAGATTATGGAAACTTCTTTTATTAGTATATTTTTAAATGATTTTTATTTTACATTGTGAATGTATTGTCTGCAGGTATGTAAGTTCGCCCGTGTGGTGTAATGCCCATGGAGGTCAGAAGAGAGCGTTGGATCTCCTGGAACTGGAGTTACAGATGGTTGTTAGCCACCATGTTAGTTCTGAGAATCAAACCTGGGTTTATATGAGTTGAAGTTATAGTTAAAGAAGGTGAACTAAATATGTATTTGACTTTGGAGCTTGGACATTAATCACTAAGATTTAATGAAAGAAAATTAAAAGCAATCTACCTGATATATCTAGTTCATGATATATGTTATTTCATATGTCATTTAATTGTTTTATACAGACCTGTGTAAAACCTGCAATGTAGGCAAGGTCCGAGGTGTCCAGAGGAAGCTACATGGCCCCATCTTCTAGTAATTCATTGGATTTCACACAACAGCAGACCAACAACTAGAGCTCGACTCTCTGACATCAGAGTCAACCCTCATGATTAAAATGGTCTCCTCTGCATTAATTCAGTGTGCCAGAGGACCAAATTGTCCTTGTCTGTAGAGATTGCCATTTTTTTCTCCTTCACTTTAATTCAACTTCATTTATTTAGTTAATAACCCAGGAATGTTGCTGGAGTGGCAGAAATTTGATTAGAATCATCACCTTCAGTATTTCAGGTAATGGAGTAAAGTAGCAACAGCACAAAAGGCAGAGCCCATGTGCACTGTTCCCAGGATGCCTCCCTGGATGGGTTAAAGTTGACATCTGGTATGGTTTCTAGTGCTCTCTCCTTCCTGGGAGCCCTGGTGAACCACTTGACACTCAGCATTAGCCCTGACCTGAGCATTAGCCCAGCAAACTCCACATAATTAAGCTACTGAGATTTGTTTCCCCTGACTGGACAGAAGAGCCTTACAAGGTGAGGGCTCAGTTGAAGTGGTAAAGCTGATTGTGTCTTTAGTAGTAAAGGAATCCGATCTCAGAAATTTCCTCGAGCTCTTGTTAATGAGGCAGAGACAACACTTGGAAGAGAAAATGAGGTCACCAGAAAGAAAACCTATTTTCCCACCTCTTTTTAATAAACAGCCGTTTTGCCTCTTTTTGATTTCAGACCTAAATTTATTGTCCTGAATAAACCTCAAGTTAAATGAACAAATAGCGTTTTCTCAGGGGTGTAGTAATCTTGTTTAAACTTAACATTTATGCGAGACAAAGAAGTTAAAGAACCCTAACCTTGTCTTGAGTAAGATAAGTCAAGAAGTTAAAATAATTTAATCAGTCCTGACAACAACAAACTCAAATAGCCACAGCGATTAGCTATTACAGGGATGTGTGGTTTATTCATTAAATGTATTAAAAGAAACTGGTATTCTTATTTGGACACTTTTCCTTTCCTTGAACCACTGTTTCAGCAAATGAAACTTATTTTTAATTATATGACCATCTTCTATAGAGGGCATTATGCTGAAAAATCATACTAATAGCACATTTCCACGTCACTCTATAAACTTTGATCTTGAAAGTTGCATCATATGCAGGGAATATGTGCATTATGGATCTGAAATTTTAAATCTCAAATCTCTGTGACCAGGAGAGCTGTGTTCGACTCCAGGGTTCTCATCCTACTGCCTCAATCTACGTTGAGGTTTTAAGATTCTGTTATACCTTTGTTGCTAATCTCTTATTCTCCTGTCCAGCAAACGGCAGGGCAATTGTGTTCATACCAAATTCACTTATGTGAGGGGGGAATCAAGTAGGTATACGTGGACACCTCTGCCTCTGCCTCCATTTCCGAGTTGATTGGCCGCCTTTCTTTCATGAAGCATTTTTTAAAACCCTTTGAGACCACGTTCTCCTTTTCAGCTTCAATTTATTCTAGTAAAATCAGTAGTCACAAAGGGCAAAACTGAAGTGAAATGTAACCTAGGAGAAATTTTGTGATGGGAGTACACAGAATAAAGGGCTGCACTTTCCTGCCTGCTTCACTTTATTTTTACTGACTTTTGAGTAGCTGTAGGAATATAATGTAAGATGGGGGAAGGGTTTTGTGCTAAAGACATGCCATTCTGTCATTATAATGTCTACCGGTGTCCTAACTCAAATGACATTAATTCTTAAAAAATTAACTATATTTAAAAATTTAGACTTTTAAAAGAATTTAAGACTTTAATCTGTTTAAATGAAATCTTTTCAGTCTTCATATTGACTAGTTTATATTGACAAGTAGTTTAATGACATTAATAGAAATCACCTGAAGGCAGAGCCCCTCAGTGTATTCTTGCTTCATCCCTTTGACTGTCAGGCCTTGACTTCTTACTCTCTTTGAGAATAATTTTATAGCTACCTTATATGACTGTAGAGAATATTAAGTGAGCTTGTGTGCACATGTGTATATCACAGAAGGACAAAGAAGCAAGTGTGAATGGGGATGCTAGCTTAGGACTCTGCTTTTCTAATAAGTCCTCAATAAATGTTGTCAAATTTCCTCTATGAGGCTTCTGTTCTTCCCCTGAAATAAGAATATTCTGGCCAAGGTTGCCAGAGAATTATCAATCGACAGTAACATCAAGTGATACATCAGAATTTCATTTTCCACTTACTTTTCTGTCTTTGAAGTTATTACCACTGTCTGCTGCAACTTTTTTAGAACTTAGCCTCCCAAATATTCAGGTTGGTATTTAACTTTTGCCCATATCCTCAAGCTTCTTTATTTGCACTCTTTTCTATCAGAGGCCCACGGTATTTGCCAAACCAGAATCATAGTCTGCTTTCAGAATTGGCAAGTATTCCTATCACATGGGGGGAAAGTAGCTGGAGACCAGTGGGTGGTATGGGAAAGGCTCTCTGCTCCCAAAGTTTGTGTTTATTAAATATATAAATACATGATATGGGATGCTTATTATAACTTACCCGTTTCTGGCAGTATTCTTTTGTGCTGACCGGCCTGGACCCTCTTGACTCTTCTGTATCTCTGCCGTTCGGTTTTGGTCCAGCTTTGTAGAATCTTCTGCTTGCTGCCTTGTCAGTCTTGGCTTCCATTTCCAGTAGCTTCTTCACTTCATTAAATTCACTGTACCATCTTCATCGCATTCGCTTTCAAAGTGATAGCTTACTGCCTCCTGTATCTTCCCTTTGGACTCAACTCTGCTAGTTCATGCCTTCCTAGTTGTATCCTAAGCATTTCCCCCATGTGTATCAGAAGAAATCAATAGTGAATAGTGAAATGTTCTTGGTAGTTACGTTCTTCAGGTTTGCATATTGATCTGTATCACTAATTCTGGCTAGGGTCCCAATCACATCTGTCACCGGGTGGCCCATGCTAGAAACCTTTGACATTATCTGTATTCCTCCACATCCACTGAATCAGCATTGTCTATGTTGACTGTTAAAACACAATGATTTTTGTTTGTTTGTTTTTTCCTTTCAGATCCTCTTTCACCTGATAATCTCACATATTTTGACTATGCTTATTTGGTTTTCCACTCTTACTTTAAATATCAGTACCCCCAAAATAATCTATGTATCTCCATGAAGGATTCAAATACAACCTTAAAATGCTGAATGCTAAATATATTTTCTCTTGGAACAATCACAGTATACAGTAGTTTAAAAGATCATATAAAGTTTATTTTTTTGCTTTTTTCTTTGTTTTGATATTGAATAGCACAATAAAACTCGATAACGATCGGTTTTCACTGTGGCAATGGGATTATCAGTTTGGAATTGTTCACAGGATGTACTTCTGGCCTTATTGCCAAATTATCACAAACTAACAATACTTGATGTATAACAATACTTGATAGCACCTGCTTAAACATATTTGAACTGCTTGAACTCAATAATATAGCTACTACCCAAATTTATTTTGTATATTTGTAGAAGGTTTAAGAAATTAAATTACATTATAAGATGTATTTTAAAATTCTTGGTAGATGAAAAATCAAATTTACTCTTAGAGTATTATAGCTATCTTCATTCTTCTATAGACATTTCTTAACAGTGATTGTTGTAAATGCTTTCTATTTCTTCTTGACAGGTAATATTTGAAGCTGAAGTCTCAGGAGGGAGAAGTGGTTATATTGCCATTGATGACATCCAAGTACTGAGTTATCCTTGTGGTAGGTTTTGATTAAGACTTGTATTTTTCTGTGTCCTTTCAACATGTCTTCTATGGGCAATGACTGCTGATTGATTGTTCACGCCTGGTCATGGCTCTCACTTTTGTTGTTGACGTTCCCATGCTTTGTGGAAAGAACACTGAAATGTTTTCTAGAATTTTCAAATCTAGTAATTTTCAGACTTCTAAGTACATGTATTATTGGATTCTTTTAATTTATTTAATTTGTGAGAACAAAATGTAAGCATGAAAGCAAATCTCATCAGGGCTTGTTGAGTCTAGAGCCATTCTCTAGGAAAACAAAGACAAGTAGCAAAATCAGAGCTCAACAATAGAGAAAACAAGAAACAGAGAAAATTAAAAGCTGTATTTGCTCTGCTAGGTTAAGGTTGAGGTGAAGTGAAGGGAATGAATCCACTCGTCTTACCCCCAGTTTAGTGCTATTTTAGGATGTCATCATAAATATCTGGTAAATCAGCATAAGACAAAAAGCTAGCAAAACAAAAACTTGGTATATTAACACACAGTTTTGTGAGACCCTTAGATGAATATTGATTGGTTTTCAGATCTCATGCCTGAATATTTGCCCACTCACATATTGGAAACAATTATTGCAAACCTTAAATTGGACCAGAAAGAACTCACAGACAGTAATTCAGACTTTTCTTTATTATTTCCCAGAAGCAAAATGTGATAAAGCCCATGTAGTGCAGGTTCTGTTCAGTAAACCTCCGTGGTGAATGACCTCTAATGCATTGTAACCGTTATGCATGGGGCCAACATGCCTGGGGTAAGGCTTGAGCCCTGCTGAGCAGTTAAAACACCTGACATTCACCAGGATCCTGTATGCTGAATCACTCTTAGGCTGGCTGCTGTCCTCCTTCGATGTAGGTGTTTGGGATTAGACCTGTGAATTTGCATTTCCCATCAGCTCTCCTGATGCTGATGGACTACAGTTCCTTCTTTGATAAGTCTTGTAATATTTCTCTACCTTGAGCTCTTACTGAAGTAAAACCCTAGTAAGAGATGTACCAGGTAAAGACCGAATTATGTATCCCATGAGTTATATGCTCTGAAAGATAGCAAAATGACATCTCTCAGGGTTCAAGTTGGCTTAGTTCTTTCAGCCCATAGGGTAACTGAACTCTATTTCTATCTACTCTTCATGTTCACACATGTCAGATGGCAAAGAAAGGTTTTCATGAATAGAGATTTGAAAATTATGTATTGGGCAGAGCAATAGCAGTTTCAGGGTAGTTTGGTTTTTCAAGAGTTTTAAAAAATTTCATGGAGGCTTCTCTGTTTCTGTTTATATTTTCTTTCAACTGTAAACAGTGGTGGGCTTCAGATCTAAAAAGTAGTTGTGGAGGATGCCTATTTGACAGTCAAGTCACTCCTGTGACTGCTACATGACTACAGGCATGACTTTGTTTTGTCTGATTTGGGGGGGTGGTAATTTTCTCATGGCTGAAAGGAAACAAGAAGTAAATTATCTTTGTTTATGAAACAAAAATATTCCCTTATTCATTGAAGAACTAGAGGCTGATAATGGGTTTTAAAATATGAAAGCATGAAGAGCTACATCACTGAACTACAGGTCAGTAGTTCACTGGCCATGTAGCTATCAGCATCTTAGAAATCTTTGTATGCTTTCATTATGATCTTCAGTAGGCTCTGATATATGCCTTTTTAAGCCTTTTTGCTTACATTGACATAGTTTTTATCATCACCTATACACACGGTGCCATGGTAACCATTTAAGTATTGCATGCTCACTGTGCACTGAACCACACTCTAGGAAAGAGGGCTACTAAGAGAGGGAGAATTGTGGGAGTGAAAAAGAAATCGTTTTCCATCAGGAAGTCAGATTTCTTCTGCATATTAGCATTGGCCAAAGGTAGACACATTAAGAACAGTGTTGTGGAAATATTGTATGTATATTCTTAGGAAATAAATATATGGATTTATTCATTTCCTTATTTGTTTTCACAGATAAATCTCCTCATTTCCTCCGTCTGGGGGATGTGGAGGTCAATGCAGGGCAGAATGCTACATTTCAGTGCATTGCTACGGGGCGAGACGCTGTACATAACAAGTTATGGCTGCAGGTAAGGCCCGTTAGCAGCTGAGCTAGAGGGTTGACTTGATTATAAAAAGTCACCGCTGTGTATTCTCTCTCTCTCTCTCTCTCTCTCTCTCTCTCTCTCTCTCTCATTCTCTCCCATGCCTTTCTCTGTCTGTATCTGTGTAAATCCTTATCAAATTAATTGTGGTTTGACATGAATGTTGAAGGAATGTACATGTAATTAAACTTCAAAAGATCCAGTGAAAGCTGTGGATCAAGGAAATGCTTTGCCTTGAGAGAATTTAGTAAATGTCTTGGTTGTTGGGTGCCGGGAGCTGCTCAGGGTTGCTCCAGCCAAGGCTCTGGACCTAGGACAGGTGGCTGCTGAGAAGAGTGTTTAAAGCAGGCTGTAAAGTAATGCCTTCTGGACCTTTATTATTATGATTTTTCATGTTTGTGTGGTGTAGTATGTCTTTGAGTGGGTATGTATGCACATATGTATGCAGGTACATGTGCACATGTGTGTGCTTGTGTCTGGAGACCAGAGGTGGACATTGTGTATCTTTCTTAATTGTTCTCCTTGTTTTGAAACAAGGTCTCTCATTGGCCCTGGGGCTCTCTTTCACTAGGCAGGCTGACCAGTGAGCTCCAGGTTTCTACCTGCCTCCAGGCTCTTCATTGCTGAGGCTACAGACCTGTGCCACATCACTTGGCTTTTTCTTGGGTGCTGGTTGTCCAAACTTAGTTTCTCAAGCTTGTGAGGCAAGCACTTTACCGGCTAGACTCCTGCCCTGTTAATATTTTTGCTTCTGTGTGCATCACAATAAAGAAGGAGGCCTAATTAGTTTTGAATTTTAAATTCCTGAGATTACCAATACATTTCTAAGATAAACTATTAGAAATTGAAGTTAGTTTCTTGAACACAGATATCAGGGTTGTTTTACTATATCCTTTAGAGTAGTGACTTTTGTGTTAAGGATACTCACTAGATTCCAAGTATTGGGAGTGAGAGTTATAATCCTTGACCAGTGAAAGCAAATTAAGTATAATGTCTAATACTGTGCTGGTTGCCATATGTATTATCTGATTGCTGCAACACTCCAATTCGATGTTACAACAAATGTACTTTATATTACATATTAATCTACATACCACTACTTTAGTAATTTATTTGATTTTTCAGTTATTACAATAACTTCTCTGGGGTTCGTATTTGAAAAGGGAATAGGCTACCTTCTTTTCTCTGATTATACCTATTTCTCATCCTCAAACTATAGTTTGTCCCATGAAGCATATTGTATAATGCACACTCTGTCTTATCAACTAAATTTCAAGCCCATTTTCTTATATCTCTCAGTCTGTCAAAGTAAGTGCTTTCAAAAATGATTTCAGACTTATTTTTTCATTCTTATTTTTTCATTGCAATGGGAGCATTGGTTGGTATTTGGTGTGAGCTGTGAGCTGTGAGCTGTAGTCTTTTCTTGGGGAACCAGCAACGGCTCTGTAGTCTACCGCTGGTGTTATGCTCCAGGATTTAATGTGGCATTGAAATAAAAAAGGTTTTATATCCACAGACACCAGCTGTCTGTGGCAACAAAGACTTTCTGGACCGTGCTGGTCCGTGAGAGTTGCAGTCAAAATGCTGCTCATTATTTGTTGTTGTGTATTTTGTGGATTGGCTCATTTTATTATGGTTTCTTGAAATATTTCTTCTGCCATTTTTCAAACAGAAATATTAGAAAATACTCTCTGTCAGTTCTCAACTTTCTTTGTTCTCCCTTTCCTCCTTTTTTCATCGGCCACAGAAGGTGAATTTGTGTGTTTGGCTCTAGCTGTGACATTGACACTGTATAGATGTCCAGCAGTGCAAATACTCACCCTATGTATTGAAAAATTGTTCTACCTTTTGCAATAGGACATGTAAATTTCCTTAATTTATCCTCTCAAATTATCAGAAAGATGTCAAAATAGACCACTTATTTAGTTTAGGGATGGTTTTAAATAAATCGAACATTTTTGTAGTGTCAATCTATAACAATCAATCATAAAAGACTGGTCTTTGTTTATATATAAGCCTATCAAAAATTGGTCATTACTTTAAAAACATACTTATCTTTTGCAAAAAAATACAAAAAACAAAAGTGAGCAAAAAGCATTCTGGCTCCACAGTGAACTTATCAGCTAAGTTATAGAGACAGATATTAGGTTATTTTTATTTAGGCTGGAGAATAACAGGCTAGAGGTCAGAGGACTAGTTCTTCATTCTAACCTTATTTCTTCCTCTTCTATAACCTAGTTAATTGTGATGGCCTTAGATTTCTCTGAACTGTTCAGGGTCTTTATTTCCTTTATCTATAAAAGGAGATGTTTGATGGAGACTAAAATCCTTTCCAGTTATAAAATGTTAAATTAGGCTTTATATTATTTTTGATGGTCTGAAACATGGCCTTGATAACCTTCTTTTGTTTGATGGAATAATGTAAAATTTTTATGTTAGTAGTTTTATATGGAAAAAAATCATCTCTTAAATTAACTTTCATTGTAAGAACGAGTGCTGAAAATATCTGCCAAACGTCCTCAGAATGAATGCAACTCAATGAAAGGTCACCACATTCCATCCTAGAAATAATGGAATAATAGAGCAGCTGCACCCCGACCAGGGGGCAGGTAGAATAATAAATGGTGACCAACTTCCTGAGTTCTCCAAATAATGTGGATTATGTTGTATTGCTTCAATTGATAAAATGTTGTCTAAATACAGACAAAGGTACCAAAAATTATAGCAGCTGCCAATTTTCTGTTTTAAAAGAAGAGTGTTGCTGCAGGATCTTGGTCATATTTGTCCTTTTCAGGCTTTGAATGCAGAAGTGTATTTGAGGAATAAACCCACTATCTATTGTTTCTAGGTTGTGATTCATATTTATAAAAATTTTAGTACCTGACATGACATTCCATTTAGGTAGGTTGAAAAGTGAGAGGAAAAGCAAACACTGAAGGAGATGCCTAAACTAGTCGAGTATAAATCAAAATTTGACTCATGGTGGTTTTCAAAGTATTTGTAAGTATGAATCTATTTTGTAATAATCAGATGATGTAATGTGTCTTTCAAGATGGTTCTTCATTCTAGACATGTAGAAAAAAGTTAAAATGTGCAACTCAATTCCTGAATATTCCATTCTTGTGATTTCTTAAATTTTTCATAATCTTTGGTTGAGTGGTCCAGTTCATCCACTTTATCTTCCAATCTTGATACTCTGTTTTCCATTTCGTTCATCCTATTGGTGAGGCTTTCTCCTGTCATTTCTAATTGGCTTACTGAGAGTTTCACTTCCTTCTTCATTTCAGCCTGAGTATTCTTCAATATTTCTAGCTCTTTTCTGAATTCATTCAGAAGTTTATCCCTATCTTCCTTCAGCTCTGTGATTACCTTGTTTGTGTGTTCTTTAAATTCACTGAATTCTTTTATCATATTCATCATTGTTCTTTTGAGTTCCATGTCCTGCATTGTCTCTAGGGGATTCTCATTGTACTCCTCTAGAGGATTACTGGTATTTGGTGGGGATATGTTATTTTGTGTTTTCATGTTATTATTTTTTCCTCTGTGATTTTGACATGTGAATTTCTTTTGTAGTTTCTGATTCTTGTGTGAGAGTCAAAGCTTCAAGTTTAGGTCTGCTTCTTTTTTTGTGAACTTTATGTGTCTTTGTGGTTTACGTTTTGGGCATGAAAGGCTGGTTCCTCTAAACTTCTGGTTCTCTCTTGATTTTAGATTAGAGATGTAAGCGCCAACATCTCAGTTTTAGTAGCAAAAACAATGAGTCTTTCTGCAAGGAACAATATATTCTAAAATGAAATGGAGATCTTTTTTAAAGGTTAAAAACTCATCCAATTTTATGTCTTACAGGGCTTATACTGAGTTCAATAATATATAACTGTATTAATTCAACTGTGAACCTAGAAACTTACA